ATTTACACATACACAATTTTTTTATCTAAAAAATAATATATTTTAAAAAATAAAATTATATTCATATATATATATATATATATATGTATATTTAAATATATTTTTGATACATGTAAAAAAATAAGTCTTAATTTTGGTTTATATTTTTTCCCCTTATTTTGCATCCTTTAAATTTTAGGATGATTAATTGTAGTTGTTATTATTCTATACTCACTTTTAATTACTTGTTTATTTGTTAAAAGGTTAAGTTACCATTTAATGATTATATATTAGTGATATCATGCAAATATGTGATATTTCTATTTTTTTAATAAATTATTAAAATAAATGTTATTTATTTACCTTAAAATGATCATTAAGAATAAAAAATAGTGACTTTATATTTTATAGGAATGAAAAAAAAAATTTATATAAATCAAAACTAAAATTTACTTATTTAACAAGGATAAAAATAATATTTAATAAAATTTAGAATAATGGAAAACATATAAAAGAATTTATAGAACTAAAATAAAAAGAATCACTAATTTTATAAAGGTTAAAACATATTTAAACTACAAGTTAGCCATATTTTAATTATTTTGGATAAATTGTTTATAATTTTAAAATGAGTTAACCTGATTGAGAAAAAATATATCGGAATAGAAGTGTGACAACCTAGGTTTAGTCCATATCACTCCCGATCATTTTAATAAATTAATTTTTTTTTTATTTTTAATTATTAATGTTTTCAGTAATTAAATAAACATAAATTAACACTTTAGTTAGATGTATCTTTGGCCACTTACTTTATTACTACTGTTATTTTTTGTTAAATAAATTTATGTTAATATTATAAATTTTAATATTTTACTTTTGATAGCATTAATATTTATGACTAATTTTAAATATTAATAATTCTGTTTACGCATTAATTATTTAATTAAATTATTATATTTTATAGTAAATTTTTTTTATAGATTCTAAATCCATTTATTTATGACTTTTATATCTCATTTCGTATAGAAAAATTTGCATAATATAATTTAAACCAAAAAAATTTTCTTGTGGATTTTTCTTTTTCATACAACTTAATTAATTAATTAATTATTATAAATTTTGAGACTTTTCTTGCAAATTTTGCCACGATTTTGGCAAAAATCTAATTATTTCCTTATATGTTGTTCAAATTATGTTTTGTAATGTAAAAAACCTATCTTATATGACATATTTTTTTAACAAAAATAATTTATGGATAAATTCTTTATTTTTTTGAAAAATATAAAGAGTGTTATTAATAAAGTAGAAAAATATTTAATATCATAAAAAATCAATCAAGAAAATAATTAATATTTAAATAGTATAATTAAATACTTAAAATATCCATACAAGATGATATTATAATAATAAATTATATTTATTTTTTTCATAATAATTTTAATTATCTTATTTTTGAAATAATTAATTTTAATTATCATGAACCCTTAAAATTTTGTCCAATTCCACTACACTTACACACATAATAATTGGTGGTTTGACCGGTTCTTGGTTGATTTACACTAATTATAAAATATGTCGATTTTTATAAGTTAACAAATCGATTATTAGACTAATTATCAATTATGTTATATCTACCGATCCAATCTAAAATTTAAAATTATGTTAAATAAATTTGTAAAATTCAAGCTTTATAATTATGAATTAGGCTAGATTCAGACCTGTTATAGGATGAATTAACCTAACTTATTTTTATATGTAATAATAATATTAATTTAATATATATATATATAGAAAGAAAAAGGTCACCAGATTTCCTAAAACTTTGTCCTTTTTTTTTGTTCACCGGATACTTACTTCAATTTAGACTTACCTATATACTTTTTTTTCTTTTACAGATATTTACATACACTTGTTGTTATACTCCCACAAAATATTGAACAACATCATAGTTTGTTTTTTTTTTTTTTTTTTTT